CCACGCAAAATATGTTTAACATTACACATGATTTTTTACCTCCGAAAAATGTTTATTTACCTTTGTATTTTAAGAAAGTGTAGTGTAAATACACCTCGATGTCACAAAATTGAATATTTATTTGATCACAATTGTTACTATTGTAATTACTATTAAAAATGATTTTGATAATTAAAAGTACTGAAAGGTATAAAACAATTTTAAGTGCCTGAAAATAAAATTAAAGATTTGAATAATCGTAACGACAGTCTAAAGAAGCTTAAGGTCCATTAACATTTAACATGACAGCTGAGAAAAGAAGGTTTACCCCCCGCCCCCTCTTGGACAATTCGCTTTGCAAACTTATCAATTCACTGACATATTTCTTAGCAACTTTCTACCACATTTTGAAGATAACAACATAGTATCACAAACCCTCGAATTTGAAATAACGGTCTGTAAAATCCTTTACTGAATGATCACTGTGCGACATTTTCATGTCAGTAAAAGAATGGCGACCCGCGACAACATATTGTAAAAATAAATTTCACTGTGCTCCAAATCCCACCCATCTATACACAGGACTGGCGACTGCTGCCGCCCGCACCAAATACAGCTGTCTCAAGAAAACAGGATTTACACAGCTGGCCAGACAGCTGTTGACAGCTGAACAGAGGAAGGGCAAGCTGTCACAAATGCGGGAGGTGTAAGTGCCGGTTTACAGCTGCCCAGCTGTCGTGAAAAAGGGCCTAGAACAAAAGTTAATTTTAAAGTTTGCTGTATATTGTAATATTTAGAAAAATTAAAGTGATACAACCTTACAAATTATGAAAATTGCGTCGCTTCATTGAATTCAATGTTTCCCCGAATTGCGATTTCGGCATTGGTTTAAACTTATATTTTCTTAAAACATTGAAAAACTATCTCAATTGCATGTCATCGGCTTATATAAGTCAAAATAGAAGTTTTTTATTTCGTATGTGTGCAATTACGTACATTAAGTCGTCAGCCTACTTTAATTCATGTATGATTCTTGAAACAAAATTCTCCTATTCCCAGCATTTCCAAACTGTGGTCTGCCTTTTAATTATGCTGTGAATATTATCTGAGATATTGAAAATTTCCTTCATATTTCATTTTTGTTGAATAAAACGAAAATTGTCGAAATCTGAACGAAATTCTTCATACAGGGTGTCCCACGAAACATGACAGTATGCAGGACGACTTGAATGTCGTCTTGATTTTTGATATAATTTGCTGCGTTTATTTGTCAACCTAATTTTAGAAGTAAATTTCTAGAGATAATAATCACAAAATTTCCCTTGTCCTGCCATTTCCAAAATGTGGTCTGCCTTTTTTGTGCTTTCAATATTGCCCGAGATATGAAGAATTTCGTTCAGATTTCGACAATTTTGCTTTTATTTAACAAAATTGAAATCTGAACCAAACTCTTTATATCTCCGGTAATATTGAAAGCACAAAAAACGCAGACCACTTTTTGGAAATGCCAGGGCTAGGAGAATTATGTGATAATTGTTTCAAGAATCATACATGTTAAAGTAAATAGAAGACTAAATGTCACAAATAAATTCAAATACCAAAGACGACTTTCAAGTCGTCTTCCTATTGTAATGTTTCGTGGGACACCCTGTATCTCCGGTATAATATTAAAAGCACAAAACAACAAAGCCACATTTTGGAAATGCAAAATTAGGGGTATACTATGATTAATAACTCTAGAATTTTACTTTATTTAGTTATCGAAAAAATGTCAAAGATCAAAGACGACCTTCAAATCGTCTTGCTACCGTCATGTAAAATATTCCTCCTTTTTGTTAAATTATTTAATTATGACTTTTTCAGAAGAAAAGGAGCAAGTGAAGGGGGCATTTTCTGTTGCTTAGTTTTGCCCCACCTGGCTCAAATCATGGATACGCGCATTTTCATTTCCTGGAAAATTTGCATAAGCCGTACTCTACGTTATTACTGTTTTCCCTCAGAAGTATACTTGGTTATGTATTAGAAAACTTCCATACGTAAATATATATTAAGAATTTATTTAACTTTTATTTCACATCTAAATCAATTTAATATTCTTGTTAATATTTAATTATAATTTTACTATTTTCCAAATCCTCCTTTGCAGGCCGGACTCCTGAAATCAACCTTCATTTCAATCATAGAACTATAAGATTAATTTTTAAATCTGATTAGAGTTTGAAAAGTATGAAATAGAGGTGGTTCAACGTCTGGTTTAGATAGAGATGGGAATAGAAAGTTCAACCTCTTTTGCTTGATTCTCATCTATAATCAAATTATCATAACAAGCATTTTTTCAAGTAGTGAATTTGATCCTGAATGGCAATTAAAGCAATATATTACAAAGTGCTTGATATTTTATGATAAATTTTCTTACTTATTACCAAAATTTTTACTTAGTTTAAGAAGACTAATGCTTCACTAATCCCTATTCTAAAATGAAGGTTGCCTTTCAACTCCTTTCCCCTCCCCCCACTGCTCCGGGGTGTAGGCATTTATAGACAGAGCATGAACTCCCTCGCTCAGCTCCTAGAATCAAGATGGAAACTCGTTAAATTGACTGTAAGGGTAAGTTTAAGTGACCCTCCATGCTGCAAACATAGCAATGCCCGATTTACAACGGGACCCGTGAAAGCTTGATTTGATCAAAAATGAGGAAGATAAAGCAGCGCGTTTTCCTGACTCAAAAGTGTCTCCAACTCCATTGCTTCTTGTCCCTTTAAATGGAGTAATGAGTTAAACTCGTATATCGTCTCGTAGCTTGGACGCTTAACGAGAGAGGGATATATATTAACTCACTCACTCCGTCCATTCAAAATAATCTTTTTTACATAATCTTTGCAAGTGTAGTTATGGTAATTATATTTATGGCATCCGCATATGGAAGAAGCTGTTCCTTTCTCTTTATTATTTTTTTTGGTCTTAGATTCAAAAATCGTATGAGCAATATCATAATCTTTAGAAGAAGAAAATTATAATGATAGAAATAGCACAAGTGAAAGCACTAATATTGAAGAACTTTTATGAGGATACTAAAACTAAAAGAACGCACATTTCAGACACACATGAAGGACAAACATTGAGGACGCACAATTCTAAGCATGCTAAATAGAACACATTATTGTGGACGCGCAAAAGTGTGCAATTGAACATACATTACGCATCACAGCTTTAATACAGTCGTCGTCGCATTTATCAATAAAATGAATATGACTTTTGATTTCAATTTTGATTTATATCAAGCTTTTAAATAACATGGATGAACTATAACATGAAAACAAAAAGATGCTGTCAATTAAAAAAGCTTCTCTTTAATTACTTGAAAACTTGTGTTTCGTATAACAGCTTTTCAACAATCAAAACTTAAATAAAACAGACGACTTCACTGTATTGATATGATCGCCAACCACTTTAAACAACAAATATATTAAAATTATTTCATTTCGTTTTATTTTCAAATTTTTTAACTTTAAAAATAATATAATATCATATTTGCAAGGTTCTTTGATTTTAATGATCGTGAAATAATTTCAATTCTATAAATCTCGGAGTGTGTTAAAATATACATTCATTTATGTCCACTTAATAAGCTCATGCTCCTAGACCTGGACCTCGAGTTTTAATTGTAATTTTTACATACTACTATTGCTATTTTTGGAACCAAGAGCTACTTGGGTGTCTCATGAAACTTGACAGTAGAAAGAATACGTTTTAGAAATAACAAGACAAGAAAATTTTGTGATAGTAACCTAAAATGTTTACTTCTAAAATTAGGTTTACAAAAGAATGCCGCAAACTGTTTTAAAGGTCAAAGACGACCTTAACTAGTCGTCTATGTACCGTCAAGTTTCCCAAGACACCCTGTATGATGTCAGAATAATACCTGCTTTAATGTATCGTTGACTAGACGATGTCTCCCAATTAATTTCACATTTTCAAATTTTTCGCTCACCACTACAACCTGTCAATTATTAAAAGGTTAATTTTTAATAGCTCCCCCCCCCTCAATCTACGTAACTTTATTGTTTATCTGGAAAATGTTAGATTAAACAAAAATCCAATTCACTATGTTAATATGGTTTCTAAAATTAATTTCTATCAAACCATGTCCACGTGATTATCGAAATCCAATTTAAGCTGCTGCAGCAATATCAGATTTTTCTGCTTTCCAGAAGAAAGGACTTGCCTTAATTTTATTTTTCAACAAATTTCTACGATGTCCTTATTTTAGTAATCTTAGACGTCGCCATGTTGATACAGTTAGACACATTAAAACTGTGGAAGACGACTAACAGTTTTAAGTCATGATCTTAAATAGTCCACTGAAAAAATATCATCTTGATATTCCACAGTTTTATGCGACTCACTGTATAATTATTTTGGAAATAAATTTTTATTTCCTATTTAAATTCAAAATCATTTAAAAATAAATATCCCTGGACAATACATTTTACCTTGAAATGTGTTTCTGAATTTTTAGGAACATTGTGCATGTAGGATTCATTGATTATTTCAAGATGTAGGGGACACAAACTCTCCTATAGATTAAGGACCATATAGGATTCATTGATTATTTTAAGATATAGGGGACACAAACTATAAATTATGGACCAAGTAGGGATACATGGAAAACGAATGTATATTTAAAATCCCGATCGCCTGTATGTCCACTGCAGATCGCTGTATGTCCACTGCGGATCGCTGTATGTCCACTGCGGATCAAGGAGTAATCTCTTAATCTTCTCAGTAGGATGATCATGTGGAATATCGATTAAAGATTAAATTTAATCTACAGATTAACAAAAGATCGAGATCAAGCATTGATCTCGAAATCCACAATACAAGAATTCATAACTCAGGGAATTTTACGGGAATATAATATTTGTTATTGGTCGATTCCTGAAGTTTGTTGGATATCCGGTTGTAGATCGGCCCACCACCTGAATTTAGAAATTATTGATATTTATCAATTATTTAATATTGATTATTTATGGCTTTCAAATCAATTTTCAACTATTAAAGAGGGACTATCGGCGTTATTTCAAGTTACCCGATTACCATGGATACCCTTGAAACCTTAATCTTATTTAAAATGTTGAAGAAACCGTATTTTTTCTGACTTTAACAGTGGTTATTCCTGTGAGTCTCGCAGAGAAAGCACAAATAAAATAAAATCAGGCTTTTAGGGATGTCCTACACCTACACACAAAAAATTGAAGTGACTATACTAATCAATAATGAAGTGAGGTCTGACGATTTGTATTCTTTGTTTATTTTCACTTGATTATTAAAGAAAACCCTCTACGTGCGGGACAAGATTTCTTCCATAACCATCGAAATAGTCAATTAGACTACAGAGTGTCCCACGAAACATGACAGTAGCAAAACGATTTGAACGTCGTTTTTGATTTTTTATTTATTTTTCTGCATTTATTTGTCAACCTAATTTTAGTAGTGATATTTTCGAGTTTAATAATCCCAAAATATTTCCCGAGATATGAAGATTTTCGTTCAGATTCCGTCAATTTTCGTTTTATTTAACAAAATTGAAATCTGAACAAAATTCTTATATCTCCGGTAATATTGACAGCAAAAAAAGGCAGACAACATTTTTGAAATGCCAGGACCAAGAGAAATTTGTGAAAATTTTTCAAGAATCATACATGATAAAGTAGGTTGCCGACTGGATGTCACAAATAAATTATAAGATCAAAGAAAACATTCAAGCCGTTTTGCTACTGTCATGTTTCGTGGAACACTCTGTAGTTTAATTGACTATTTCGATGGTTATGGAAGAAATCGTGTCCCGCACGATCAAGGCTCGGTCGTGTCTCGCAAATCTGGGAGGCTCACTAATTTATAACCAAGGCTCAAGATTTTATCTGGAATGTCCAACCGTCCCTCTCTTACAACGATTCTAAGGATCCGAATCCGCAACATTTTGGCTTCCTGGATCCGCATAAATATGGGGATTTCCGGATGCAGGGGGGGGAGCAAAATATCAACCAAATACTGTTAAAAAAAAAATGTTTGCTCTCAAAACCCAATTCTGGACTGTTGAACCAGAGATTACTAAAAAATCTATTATATCTAAATGGTTCATCAATTTAAGCATTTTAAAAAATCGAAAAAAAATAAAACTAAGTAGATAATTCGTCTTTTATTAAATAAAATTGATAAAGTTTATGACCTGTATCCGGATCCGGATCAAAATGAAATAGATGCTTCAGTGGTTTCTAGACCCCAAATATTCTGTAAATGATCATTATACCTGATTGACTCATTCTCCGTGTAGAGGTGAGAAGTGGACCTCTCCACATTAATCAAATTTAATATCTGTAAAATTCATAAAATAGCTGCTAAATATTGAATTTATTCAAAGTATTAAATATAGGTTTATGATAAAGGCAGATTTAATCACAATTGTATACTGTAGAGGGGATCACAGTGCAATAGGGGGGTAACTACGGTAAGGAGCATACTTATAGAGCAGGGATTTTCTTCAATATGGATTATAGTGCAGAAATTACTGCAGCATGGATCATAATGCAGGGATTCCTACATTTTGAATAATAGTTCAGGGATTACAGCAGGGTGGATCGGTGCATGGATTACTGCAGAATGAATCCTCTTTAAAGCAGAGATCAGCGCAGTATAGATCTTGGTACGATCCTTAGTATTGTTCAGTGAAGGAAATACAGTAAATGATCGACACCATTCACTGACGATCACCGACGATCTACGGGACGGTATGGGGTGGATGATGGACGGTGTAATACATCTACTGGATCGGAAGAACTTCCTCAGTTCTCTATTCCCTGAGAAAAAAAAATAATTTTAAACATTTTACCAGTAGAATTTGCATTTTTTTTCTCAAAAACTACTATTTTATTGACAAATCAATTACTTTCCTAAGAATCAGTGAATGTGCATTTATAAAGAATTATGATTATTAGAAAAATTAACATAAAGTTTTTATAAATTATTATTTAAAAAATGATGAACCTGGTGGGAGGATTCTGCTTGAGTTGAAGAAGAATACCACGCATGCGCGACACATCCTTAGTGTTCCGAGTATTCTGGAAAAAAATAGAATAGATTTAAAACTTGTACATAGATTTTTTCCAGGGGAATTATTGAGGACAAATAAAAGTAGAAAACAGGGGGTCAAGTTTTTATTTCTCACCATCTTAACAAAATTTTATCGTATTTTAAAAATAATTCAAGAAATTTTTAAGAAATATTTTACAAATTTACAGGGTGACCAAAACTTTTTTGAACCCATCCGTACAAAAATCCGTACATTTTCAGAAGAAATCCGTACAGTCCGTACAATTTTCGAAAAACAATCCGTACAATCCGTACAATTTTTTTTTAAATTTAATTAAACCGACTTAAAATTTATTATTAATGTTCCAATCTACATTTCTTGATCTGATTTTTTACTAGTCAATAAAAAATAATTTTGAAAAAATTTGCAATTTCAATCCGGAAATCTAAATTTATGAGTAAATTATTTCAAAATACCGTTTCAGTCTTGGCATTTTCAAAATGTGGTCTGCCTTTTATGTGCTTTCCAATTCCATATTACAAAAGATATTGAGAATTTGATTCATATTTCGACAGTTTTGGTTTACTTTAATAAAATTGAAATCTAAACGAAATTGTTAATATCTCCTGTAATATTGACAGCAAAAATACTGCAGACCTCATATTGGAAATCTCAAGACCTGGCGTTTTCGTTACAAGATGTGTTAACTAGAATACCGCAATTATTGTGTTCATGAAAAAATGCCACATGGATATAAAAGCTGTCACTTAATTACCATGCTTATTGGGACAATCTGTACCTTAGCGCTGAAATCACATTGTTTGGCTACTCTCTCCCACTCAGTACCAGGCTGAATATCATTGATCTAAACAGAAGTTAAATAAAATGGATTCTAGAATTTAAATTTAAAAAATTACTAAAATACGTTCGGCATATGTTAACCTCCGACTTAAGTTTCCTTACTTAACAACACATGTTTGATGACCTCCGACACATTTTTGTTGAACTCCGAGTCAGACACATGATTTTTTACCTCCGAAAAATGTTTATTTACCTCCGAAAAATGTTTGCTTTCCTCCGAAAAATGTTTGTTTACCTCTGACTTATGTTTGTTTAACTCAGACACATGTTTGTTGACCTCCGACAAATGTTTATTAACCTATGACAAATGCTTGCTTTCCTCCAACACTTGTTTGTTGAAATCCGACAAATGTTTATATTTACCTCCGAAAAATATTTTTTTACCACCGACACCACATGTTTATTTACCTCAGCCACATGTTTGATTTCCTCCAAAAAATGTTTACCTCCGATACGAAGGTCTCCTCTGCGCTCCTGTTGTTCTCTTTTGTCTTTTGAAGCTGCTCCTCATAGTGCTTATACCTTCAATAAATAAATAAATAAATCAATAAATCCATCAATCAATCAATCAATCAATCAACCAGAACATGGACGACCGGGAAAAAAGGAAGGGAAAAGAGGGAAGGGAAATTGAAAAAGAGGGAAGGAAGGGAAGAGGAAAAGGGAAAAATGAGAAGGGAAGAGAGGAAAAAGGAAAAAAAAGGAAGAAAAAAGAAGGGAAAAAGGAGGAAAAAAAAGTGAGTCAATTTTTCAGCCGCCGGTTTGGCTCACAGAATAAACTAAGCAAAACATTTTTTGGGAAAAATATGACATTTTTTCCCCAAAGGCCAAAGGGAAAGGAAAAAAGGGGGAAGAGGGAAGTAATTATGAAAAAGGAGGAAAAAGAGGTAATTTATTTTTTATGTCTGTTTTGGTTCACATAGAACTCACCGTTAACCTCAGCTATGATTATGAAGTAGGTTTTAAAAGCAGAAACCTGATTTTTTTTTCAGATTCTGAAAGCAGACTATGTCTATAACTACCATGTAAATTTTTAGAGATCCCTGTCTAGTCCTTTTTTAGAAAATTTCATTGAAACTTTGTTATGTCATTTAGACTGAAAACTGGTTAATGAGCTCTAAAATATTCAAACCCTGAACAAACATTTCAGTGTGATTATGTGTATTCAAGGTATTTCATTAAAAAAGAGTCTGAACCTTTTAAATTTCAGTCTCTATAGACGAATAGTCGAGAAAACAAGATTTACTCATCTAAAATGTGCTTAAATTTTTATCCTTTGAGGTTTAAACCCTATAAATCATTGTTTATGTGGTTGTTTTCCTCCGATTTGTTAATTTTACATTCATAAATTTATCATATGATAATAATTAAGCAGAAAGGCTCAAAAAACTTCGGATTGCCTAATAATCTCTTGAAAACTTTTCGAGTCAAACGCCTTTTTTCAGTCTAAGCTATACAACAATTTTAACTGGAATTTTCTCAAAAAGGACTAGACAGGGATTTCTAAAAACCTACACGCTAGTTTTAGACATAGTCTACTTTCATGATCTGAAAAAAACTCAGGTGTCTGTTTTTAAAACCTTCTTCATAGCTGAAGTGAACGGTGGACTTTGCAAAAAATGTTGGGAAAATATACCATATTTTTCCTTTAATGGCAATTTCATATTTCCCCCCTTTATAAAGCTAATCTGTTAGTATTCACATTTATTACTAACAGTAACCTATTTAAGGCACTAAAACGCTCCATTATAAAACTAAAATCCCATTATTTAACTAAAATTCATTTTCGTAGGCTGCGTTACCCAGTAAAAACGCCGAATTTTAAGTCGTGGCTTTGGGATAAAAAATATTTGAAAAGGGGCGCGGGGATATGAGTCTCAGAACTTATGTAAACCCAAGACAATCATTCAATTAGTCAATCAGTTACACCGTCATTCAGTCCATCAGTCAAACTATCAAACTGTCAATCATTCAATCAGTCAATCACTTAATCACTTAATCACTTAATCATTTAATCATTTAATCAGTTAATCAGTTCATCAGTTAATCAGCCAATCATCCATTTAGTCAATCGGACAATCAATCAATGCTCAAAATTTCTTAGCTCTGTCCTTAGATATTACTACTTACCAGTCGTTGAGTTCCTGTTTTGCCTGCTCCTTGAGCTCCTTTCTCTTTTTCTCCTCGTTCTCATCCTTCAGCTTCAGCTTCTCTTCCTGCTCAATCTAAAAAACAATGAGAATTGACATTTAATTTATTTTAAAGGGACTATTAGTGTAATTTCTAGTAACCCTTCATGCAAAGATGGAAATGTCCAATTTATAACGGTAGAATTAATTATTAAGCAAATATCCAGAATTATTTTCTACGAAAGGGACTAGTAATGCATGGGCGGGAGGATACTTGAAATTAACCTTAAAGTCCCTTTAAAAAATTGCCTATTCTTATATTTAAAATGGAGAATACTTTATGACCTTGTGGCTTCTCAGCCAGACTCATGTTTCCTTAAAAAGCCATTAAAAAACTTAATGGGAGAAGTTTGAATTTTCTTATCTTTTGAAATTTTACCCTAGGCTTCATACTTAGTTTAAAATCTTTAGTACGGCATTTGATTTTTTCTGCTAAACTTTTTATTAATGTACCTTTAATCATCCCCTGGCATGCAAGTTTTTTTATTAATGTACCTGTAGAAAAACCGTTAATCATCCCCTGGCATGCAAGTTTTTTTATTTAAAACATTACAAATTAAACTGAAATACAAGAATTAGAATTTTTTTCATTTTCTACCTTCCACTTCTTGATGGATTCTGGCTCTTCCCGCACATTGATGTTACCCATTCCATTAGTCAGGGTTTCCATCCCGTTCTAATCAAATAGATATATTAATAAAAAATAAATTTACAACAGGTCTTCCTCCAACTGAATCAACAAAAATATCCACGGATCATCAAATTCATGGTTCATCAAGTTTTAGCAAAAAAATCTCTAATTGGTTCTGGATGAATTTTTTTTCAGGGCGTATACAGGATCCGGATCCGCATCAAAATTAACTGGTTTTTAAGCACTGGTAAAAAAGGTAGATTAAAAATTTACAATTTCAATCACTTATTTCAACGTCAAAATAAAACAATTCTTAATTCTTAACATAAACGCAAAAAACTTCTGTTCGTTTTAAAATTTACTCTGTTTAAAAAACAAATTCAAGAACTAAAATAATATAATTTTCATTAACAAAACAAGCTTTTAAAAACCCATAACCTGATTTCCTTAGAATGAAAAAATGTTTACATGCCATGCGAAGCATTCGTTCATGCTTGATTAACAAACAAAACTTTACGATACTTTGTAAAGGCATCAAATTAGAAAGAAAATTATGAACGAAACACCATAATAATGGTTTGAAGAAAAATACGTGTAATCGGTAAATAAGAATAAGGATGAAATTGGACAAAGTGACAATTTAAGGACAGTTTTTATTCTGTTAATATGTTACAGACAAGATTCATGTTGTACCATGCCAGAAGGAAAATACAATTCTAGACATTTAACTAACTTTGTTTGAATACCATTGTACATTGTGAAGTAGAGGACAGATAGAGAGGGAAAGAATATAATAATGAAAAAAGGGAATTTACTTACAAGGTTTTTAAATCACTTTTAAGAACATTCTTCGTTTATTTCTCAAATTAAAATTTACATAAATCGCAACAGAATTTCGAAGGATGGGAGGGAGTGGGGAGGGGCATTTATTTTTTTCAGGGGATCGTCTAACCTCGCCAACCTCTTGAAACATATCATTGTCCGAGCCAAGGAATGGGTTCGGGTTCTCAGACATGAAGAACCCGTTGTTCTCCTCCAGGGTCGGGTTGAGAAAAGAAACCTGCACCACCAGAAATCAAGAAGGGAAAATACTCGAAACATACCTTTTTTAAGCAAGGGATGTAAAAAATCATGATTAGGTTTCTTATTAAAATTAATTTTTTTTTTACTTTTAACTTATGGAAGAGATTTTGAGAAAATATGGTTTTTGAAAAATGTAACGAAATTATGATTTAATCCCTAACCATTAAAACCCAAATTCTGAATCGAGTATTTCACCAACTTAAAAAAGAAGAAAGATGTGCTGTCCCAAAAAAAGAAATAATATTTTCTAAAGTCTGTTTTTTGAGACAGTTTTGTAAAAAATTCCGAAGGTAGCAAGATTAATTAGTGCATTGTGCATTTTTCACTTAAAAACTGTGCAATTAAAGATTAATTCAAGGTACTGTTTATAATAAAAGATTAATTCAAGGTACTGTTTATAATTAAAGATTAATTCAAGGTACTGTTTATAATTAAAGATTAATTCAAGGTACTGTTTATAATTAAGAACATGTAGAAAAATGTCTGGCAACCATGTGTCAGATAATACTGCAGAAATTAACAATATAAACAGTGCCTTCAGGGAATTTGAATAAGTATGGGGAACCCGGAGCCCGCTATTTAAAAAATTCGGGAAAATGTGGTTTGGGTCTAAGCTGTCGTTGGGCCTTATTTACGGCTTGAGCTTTCGGATTCAAGCTGGACCTAGCTCCTGAAGTCGAGCCGAAGATCTTGCAGCTGTCAGTCTAGAGACACAAGCTGTCGTCAGAGTTGGGTTGAAGATTGGAAGTCGGGTTTAAGGAATTACGGCTCGAGTCGAAGTTTTTAAATCACGGGCTTGGGTAAAGTAAATTTTTACTTTCCCGAAAATGTACTTTTATAAGATTTTACCGCCTTTAGAAATGGAAATCCGAAAATTTCTAAATAACAACTTGGTAGAGTAAGATGTAATGCTCGGTAATATTTATCAAAAGACGGTAAAATACATTAGGAAATTAAAGAATGCATAAAGAGCGAAGAATGAGTTAAAGTTATAGACTGCAGGAACAGTTATTTAACCTGAATAGCATCATCTTCTTGCTTGACTTCTGTATTAGGCTACAAGAAGAATAGTTAGAATAGAAGGATCAGAGTAATAGGAATCATACATTATTTATGTACAAGGGTGTATAATTTTTCAGAACCCCTAAAACAAACATACAAGCATAATAACTTGTGGGGGGAGGGAAAAATTTCTTAAGGGACTGACTTTTCATTAAAATATACACCCCTGTTTATGTAGTTTAACGACTACAAATGATTAAAAACCACGCAAAATATGTTTAACATTTCTTAACGGTAGAGAGATGAAATATTCCTTCCGATAAATGTTAGAACAGACAATAAGAATAAGAAAAAACCTAAGTTTTTAACAAATAAAGAAATTATGTACAGAGTACATTGTTTAGCAAAAGATTATAATTTATGGTACATTCGGTTGCTTTATTTCTTTAAAGGATAATCACGAAATAATACATGCGAAAATATTGAAAGAAGGGTAAAGAAAATTCACCTCATTTGATGAGAAAAAATCCATATTCTGGAAAATACCAAAGTCAGAATTTGGAATAATATTTTAACCGGTTTTTTTAGTTTTCAAAAGACATTACAGGGGAAGAAAGTTCCAAACCGTGATTTGGCCCAGACCTGACACTGAGGTTTGGGCCTAGGTGTTCAAGATTCAAATTTAAAATATGTGCGAAAATGGGAAACCTTGGATTGTTTCGAAAATGGTACGGGTTTTAATTGAAAATGAACGATTACTCACAGTTTTAATTTTAGAAAAGAATAATATGTTAGAAATAGTTTTTTAAATGATACAAGCACTCGGCTCAAGAAGAGTTACTAAAACGTTGATCATAATATTTGTACCCAAAACTGCAACTCAGTGTCAGGTTTCAAACATAAGCATGGTTTGGAACATTCTTCCTCTGCATTAACAAATTGAGTAACATGTAGTGTTTGAAACAAGATATGCACCATCCAGTAAGGGGGGTTGATCTGTTAAAATCTCAATTGGTTCAACCAGATTTGTCTGGAGTTTTAAAAAGTTGAGGCCCAAAAATAGCTTAATTTTGGACTAACAAAATGTCCGTCTTATACACATTTTTTGTCTCGAGAGAAAACCCCATTTTCTTAAAGTCGTGTTAATATCCAATTGTATGCTTCTCTGGGTGAAGCAAGTGGAATTTCCAAAATCGACCTCCCTTTCTATGCAGTAGGCAATAGGCATGCAATCAATTCAACATTGTTTGTGCAAGAAAATTGATTTTTGATGCAAGAAAAAGTGCAATGTTTGATTTACAGAAAATAGTGCAATGTTTAATTTGCAAGCTGAGCAAAATGTTTGATTTTCAAAAAAAAAGGGATTTCTCACCGAGTTCTCTTCTACCTGGACTACCTCAATATCCTAAATGAAGATAATTTCTTAAACAACTTTTTGAAAAGTATAATTTTCCGAGAATTTTTTTCCAGAGGGGCATTCTTTCCAGTGGAACATTTTTTTGGGAAAAAATTATTTTACAATTATTTTTTTTAATTATATTTTTTGAACATTTTTTTATCCCCTTAAAATCTTAAATACCTGGGGTGGAGAGTTGAAGCCCATATCTTCGCCAAGTTCAGCTAAATCCTCCTAAAACATATCACAGATTTAGTTAATAATAATTAATAATTACAATAATAATTATAATTGGACTTCACATGAACACAGGGAAGGTTTATTAATGATCAAAATTTCAAAAATTAGCCTCCAACAAAATTCGATTTTAATTAAATTCTAAAAAATCCGCGACATTTTATATATAAAATCTGCAAACTTTTTTATTGTTTTACAATATATACATTACAAAGAGAAAATGTACATTGTTCACAATTGAAATAGAACATGAGCAAAACGCGCCTTGAAAGCCTAGTATATTTAAACGTTATTAGTTATTATTTTTAACCCCGGAGCTTAACCCGTTCCAAAACTGACCTGTCCTAAACTGACCAGTTCCTAAACTAACCTGTTCCTAAACTAACATGTTCCTAAACTAAAATCATCCTTAAACTGAATTTTTCCTAAACTAACCTGTTCCTGGGCAAGAAACTCTGCAGCAGGATCAATCTCTGCAGCAGCAGGAGAATCAAAAGCATCAAAACCGTCCATTTTGGATTTTTTCTGAAAACAAAAATAGGTGAACAAAATCTACAATGGTCAATTAATACATGCAATTTAACTTTTGAGCCTCGAATTCTTTGACAACATGTTTCCTTGGTGGTTTTAAAAAGGGAGTGTTCATGAATTTTAAAATGGGGTACATATTGAATATTGCATTTTTCACACCGATGCTAGATTCTTAGTTTCTTAATACTTGAACCAACTTCACATAACTACACGAACACTCCCTTTAAAGGGACTGTCAACACAATTTCAATTGACTCTTCATGCAAAGATGGCAATGCCCAATTCACAACCTTACCCTTAAAAGCTATGATCAAGGATGAATTATCCAAACATTATTATTTTCAATAATGGTTTCCCTTAAAAAGTGACTTGCGCAATTCTAATGCAGATAGACATATCAGAATTATCTGAATTTAATACATTTAAATCTAGAAAACCCACAATTTTATCCACATAATTAAAAACCGGTTTCAAAGATACCGTTGTAAATCGGACATTGCCATGTTTGCATGGAGGGTAACTTTAAATTACGGTTATAGACCCTTTAAACTCGTCCACGTGGATAATATCTTCTCTTAAGAATTGTTTCCTAAAACCAGGACTGATGGTTTGAAGAGTTTAGAGATCTTTACTTCGCTCCGCCATAGCAGCAGCTGCAATATCTTGAGGGGAGAGTGTATCTGTATCAATTCCCTAAGAAAAGAACACTATCAGTCAATTCTATTTTTAAGTAGAAATCTCTGTTTATCCGTCTGTTTTTTTGGATGTACGAGCATGATTCAAAGAGATTTGCCCAGGGGTGTATATAATTCCATATTTTTGATTCTTTCCCCCCCCCTCTAAATTTTTTTTGAATTCCTTCCTCAAACTCGACAACTCAAAATACATAGATTTATTTAAGTATCATCTAAAAAAATTTACTTATTCTTACTTAATTAAACAGTTAAAAAGTCTACAGGGACATGAGACTGATTTTCTTGGTTCTTCCGAAGCTGTCCAAGAGATATATCTGCAAACTTCAGTTTGGAGTACTGTCTGGAAAGTCTGGCGTTGTCCATCTTTCTTACAAAGGTCATCTCCTTCATAAACTCATCCCTGATTTCAGTGATGATTTTTTTCTTTAAGATATGAAGAGGAGGAGCATTAAAAGCTATGATAAGCTCTCTTGAGAAAAAGCTTGATGTGAGGTTTCTTCCTTTATTAACTAGTATATTCATGAGGGATCCCACACTTTCACAGTAGGCTTCAGTACATGATTTGATATTAACATGTTATGAGCTTCCTTCATCCTTTTCTCAGTGTGTCGAGGCTGTTCAACCATGTAAACTGCAACAGCCTAAATATAGAAGATATGTCAAGGCTGTTCAACCATGTAAACTGCATAAGTCTAAATCAAGGAGATATGAAAAGGCTGTTCATGTTCAACCATGTAAACTGCAACAGCCTAAATTAAGGATATATGTCGAGGCCGTTCATGTGTAACCTTGTAAACTGAAAAAGCCCAAATCAAAGAGACATGTCCAGGTTGTTCATGTTCAACCATGTAAACTGCAACAGCCTAAATCAAGGAGAAATGTCGACTGTTCATGATCAACCATGAAAATTGCAACAGCCTAAATGGAGAAATGTCGAGTCTGTTCAGTGTTCATGTTCAACTATGTGAACTGCAATATCATCTTCAAGTAAACAAGGCTGCTAGTGTAATATAAATAAAATTAAAAACATTATTTTAGAAGTATTTTCTTTCCTTAATTTTACCAATTAAAAGTTTGCAATACAAAAAAAATCCTCTTCAAATTTCCAAGATCCAAGATTGATTTTGTTGCAATTCCCTTCGAAGAAAGGAGATAAAAAACAGATCTGCATTATTTTATTTTTATTTTCTATTTTGTTTTTTGTTCTCCTGCATTTAATAGTAATGTACGAAAAGTACTTTACAAATGCAAATTTTATTGTCATGTTTGCTGCTCAATATATTAAATTATATGTCTTCCATAACAGAGCTGTCGATATTAAAGATCTCAAATATCATATATTCCTGAACAAGTATATAGCGAAAAGATTGGTTAACCCTGTGATTTTTAATTATTCAACTTGTTAACAATATTGATTTATGTTTTCTTAATAAAAGTTTAAAGAAGAATATAACAATTAATATAATGTTTAATAGTTCTAGTGATTTATATAATGTGTAATAGATCTAGTGATTTATCCCCCCCCCCCCCCGTCCTCTCATCGATACATCACTTTTCCCATAGTTACAATTAAAAAGCAGACAAGCATTTTGGTAATTTCCTAATGAACGATTTTTGGACCCCCCCCCAATCAATTTTGTACATGGATCTCATATGTAACACATGGATAAAATTGGTCATGTGGCCGAAGCACCCGGCCCCCTAGCCTGTCCTGGCTGCAGCGCTCGGCCCTGACGTTGTCTTAGTATAACCGAACACTAATATTATAAAAAATAAATAATAGTAATTTTGCTGAAAGTGGTCATGTACATAATTGATGGGATGGGGAAGGCGGGGGATCCAAAAATCGTTCTCTAGTACAGACTCACCTTTTTATAGTGGGGGGAACATATGATATTGCTATTGGAGGGGGAGAACGAAATTTTTCCCAAACTAAGGTTTTGAAGTTTCCAATTTCCAGTGTGACAAAACTAACAATTTTCCTCTTTTACCTTAACTTTCTTTATTAAATTAAAGCCGATATTATTCCCCCTCTCCAGATCCGAGATGGAGGGGGCGAAGCAACAAGAAAAATATTCAACCTTATGTCTTTCAGAAAACAACTAACCTTATTGTTAAAATTTAAAGATTTAGAAACACAAACGTCTGCACATCCAACCTCTTCAGAAGTTAGATTTCTAGATTAAAAATAATTATAACAGTTTCCGGTAATTGGTATATTCCTAGAGAACGATTTTTGGACCCCCCCCTCCCTCCTGTCAATTTTGTACATGGATCTTATATGTTAGATATGGATATAATTAACCATGTGGCCGCAGCGCTCGGCCCCCTAGCCTGTCCTAGCCGCAGCGCTCGGCCCAGAAAGTGTCTTAACCTAACCTAACCCTAAATAAT